TGGGGGTGGCGAAAGACAGGAGTATTGGGGGGCTGTAGGGGCAGGGCTGGAGCAGTCCCCATTCTGTCCCAGCTTCTTACCCTCCACCCCATTATCTCAGCCTGAGCCCTTCTACTCCTACCCCCCACCCTGTTCCCTATGTCCCTCTTCTGCCCCTCTGCCCACCCCCTGCTCTCCACCCCTCTGTATTCAGGTCAAATTGCTTCCCCCTTCTCTATGCAGGCTGGGTGCTATGGGGGGGGGGGTGGGCACAGATGAAACACCGTTGATGCCACAGCAGTCCCTGCTGGCCAGGTGTAGCAATTGCTGGGAAAGTCTGGATCCATCCCTGTGGGGTCCCCGAGGCTCCAGCACAGGCTGGCCTTCCAGTCCTACTCAGCTTCTGATGCCAGCGTCAGGCCTCGATCCTAATTTTCAAAGCAACGAACGGATCAAGCCCCAGCTACAGCACAGACCAAATTCTGATCTGCGATCCCCGGCGACAGCTGTGTTTCTCTGGCACAGTGCAGGCCCCAAAGCCCAGAAGGAAGCTTGTGAGAGCTGGGTCTAAACCAGGATGAGGCCCGGTATCTGTTCTGAATCCACAGCAGCGAGCCACAATGTTGCTAGCACAGATCTGTGCACTAGTGCAAGGTATGGACCAAACCAATCGCATGCGCACTGCGACCGAGTCCCTGGTGTAAATAGCTCGCCATGTGCCTGCAAAGGGAACTTGGCCTACTGCTCTGATCGTCTGCATTACAGAGAATGAGATCCTTCTGAAGTGGGAAGAACACCCAGCCCCATAGCTTGCTCGTTCTTGGGCATGTAGATGCTGAGGACGAGGGAGAGGCAGTTTGCAGGCCTACATATGCTGATTTGTTTCAGCAGCAGCATTCCCTTGTGCCTGGCCTCACGGGTAATCTGCTGGTTAGCTCAATGCGTTCGTCTCTCAGTTATTTGACTTTTGCTGCCTTGAGCGGCTGATTAGTCTGGAGGTCCCTGTCCAGCAAACAGTCTTCACACAACTCGCTCCTTCACCAAAGGCAGCTCATCTCACAGGGCAGAAAAATACGGTCTCAAATGCGATCCTGGCCCAGTTGTTGGAGACCTGATTCTGGTCTTGCTTACACTGGCTTCACACTCACATAGCGCCACTGACTTCAAGGGAGTGACTAGGGCTTCACGCCAATGCCACAGAAATCAGCTCGGTTCCGATTACCCAAACCTCAAATACCCAGAATACATCCAGTTGTCGCAAACAGGCTCACGGCCCCTGCTGTGTATGAATTACACTGGTGCCGAGTCTTCGGTCAAGCCGGGGTAAGCTTTGAAGGCAGTAGCGTAACATGGCTGTGAGAGGAGATCTACAGAGAACATCAGCTCCTCAGAGACCGCCAGCATCCCGAAGGATTCGTTCAGCCCTCGGACAGCTGAGGCTGGGGGCCATACAGACAGACAGCTGTTTAACACTGGGCCTGCGTCCAAACCGTGGTTCTCTGACCATCACCCAAAGTGGGCGTCTAGTTCCAAACTTTATACTGGGCCCAAACAGATCTGGCTCCAAACTCAGGCCCATCTCGCTAACCCAGCGGCTTTTGACAGTCCATGCTTGGCTCTAACAGGAAAGGGCTGGATTTTTTGTTAGTTTTAACCCCCTTCATGCCTGTCTGAGATAAATCCAAGTGAGGTGCTGGGGCCCCATGTGTGCCTGTCAGCAGCCATGGCTGGTCACTCCAGCCTGAGGATGGAGCAGACTCCCGCCCCTCAACTTCAACAGGAGCCCTGTGCCCGGCGAGCTGACTGGATGGGGTCCTGGGTGATGTGGGCAGACGAGCCCTTAGCAGCTGGGGTTCTGTCTCAGAAGCACCTGGGGGTTTGTTTCACACAACCCTGGCCAGGGTTTAATGGGCTGAAACAATTTGGATTCCAGGATTAGCTGAGAAAAAAAAAAAACAAAAAAACCCGCAACAGCCCGTTTTAAAGTTCAGCCCCGGGGCGGTAAGATCCCGAAGCACGGAACAGCCCTTCCCAGCAGGTGCCCAATGATCCCAGGTGCCCCACAAGCGCCCAACGGCTCAGCCGTGAAAATACAGCCCTGCCGCGCAAGGAGCCTCCTCACGCCCAGATGGTGTCCTGGCGAAGGTTGACGCGAAGGGCTGGCTGGGGAGTTCCCCGCATGAAGAGTCTGGGTTTGTGGAAAGGAGATTGCCCCCCCCCAGGAAAATCCCTCTGTTGGTTTTCTCATCTGTCTGCTGCCGAGAGGTATCCCGAGCTCTGAGCTGGGTTCTGGGCACCCGGAGACCTTTCCCCACCTAGTGCCCAGCCCAGGGGAGCCACACGCTTTGATGGCCAGTGCCCCCAGGACACAGGAGGGAGCTGCCTGGGCTCAGTGACCATGCCTGGGGGTGGGGGATGTAGCCCGGCAGCCTTTGGCAGACCCAGTGCCTCCAGCAGCATTGTTCAGGCTGTGCGTGTGTGCTAGGGACACACTGCTGGATGCCCGGTGCGGTGCAAGCCACACACTGGCCAGGCTGTGCTAAGGGTGTTCCTGCTTCATAGGCTAAGTTCTGTGTTGGCCTGACTGAGTCAAGAGGACTCGTTTCAGTGTGAACTGGCCTCTGTGGCTCCTGACACAGGGCAGCATAAAGGGCCCCCAAGGACTGAACCCCAGAGAAGATGCGGATAACGAAGAAGGATCAGTTATGACTATTCTCAACTCCTACACAGCTTTTCATCACAAGATCTCAAAGCACTTTGGAAACACGAAGGGCTGGATTCTGACCTCAGAGAGACTGATGGAAATCTAGAGCGACTCCAGTAACGTCAGGGGACTTCCTCAGGCTTTAAAGCGGGGTGTGTGGGGGGGTGAAATCTGAAGCTGGCCCTAGATAACGGAGCCTCCAGGCAAGTGTCGGTCATCACCCCCATTTTACAGATGGGGAAACTGAGGCACAGAAAGATTAAGCGCCTTGCCCAAAGCCACTCAGCAAATCAGGAGCAGAGACAGGTCAGAATTCAGGTGTCGTCACTTCACTGAGCCCACTTTCTAAAGTCCCCCTGGGAGATTTTAAAACCCCACCATTTACCCTTCTGTCCAGCAAGCGTGGGAGTCTCCGTCAAGGATTCCACCCTGTCCCTGGCTCTGGCACTGATATGTTTGCCTCAGTCAAGTCCAGCTGCAGTGTACAGCAAGCCGGTCACTGCCAAAATGCCAGAGGGACTCTGTTGAGCCTGACCCTGGGATCTAACACCATGGTGGTGGACTGGTCCAGATTTCAGCTGGGGAACACATGCACTGGAGGGTGGCAAAGGAAGGATGGTGTAATGGTTAGGGCAGTAGCTAGGTTCAATTCCCTGCACTGCCACAGGTTGTCTCTGTGACCTTGGTCAAGTCACTTAGTCTCAGTTCCCCATCTGTGAAATGAGGATCATGGAAATGCTTTATCATAACTGGCACCATTTATCCCGGCCTCACAGGGGGCAAACACCAGAGCTGGTTGGAAATTTTCAACAGAACAGGTCTGTCAGAATCTGCAGTATCGCTGAAATCAAAGTGTTTTGCAGGAACATCTGGATTTCTGTCAAAAACATCATTAAAATGTCTAAACAAATAGTTTGGACTGTTTCATTTCCTTTTGAGAAGGTACAAAATGTTTCATTTTGACTTTCTCATTTTGTTTTGTTGACTTGTAGATTATATTAATTTTATTATTGTATATACTTAACATTAATCTTAGTTTAGGGCTCCACCCTGCACAGAACCCCCAAACCACATGAAACTCGCCCGGTTTGGGGACAGCCCTGAGCCCCAGCCAAGGTTCTCTGCCTGAAGCCAGGTCCAGTTCTGAGCGAGCAGGGCCTGGCTTAGGCTCCTGGGGGACTCACCATCTTGCATGGTCTTAGCATGATACTAGGAGAAGCTCTGCAGATTCTACCAGGTTTTTTCCCCCCTTGACTTTTTCAGGCTCCCAGGGGTTGAGTTCTATAGAGAGAAACCAAGGCTTCCTACCAAGCACTAGGGCCCCATGGCTCTTAGGAAAGGCCCGAAGCTTTGTACGAGGAAGGAGGCTGTAGCCAAAGTGGGCACAAAGCCCCCAGACGCAAGGGGAATAGCCAACATCTCTGCAGCCCCTGCTCATGCAGAAGGACTGAAGGTAGCTAGCCAGACCTACAGGCCACAGGCCTTGCTCGCTCCATTGACTTTCATGGAGTAAGGGTGGCAGGGTGTGGCGATGGGGAAGGATCGGAGAGTAGAGTTAGAGGGGAAGGCAGTGGGGGAGGATCCCAGCGGATGTGAGAGGAGGGCTCCTGCCACAGCGAGCTCCCTGACTAAGAGGGCTTCTGCCATTCCAGCTACGCCAGCCGCCCAGATGCATCGTGGGGAGGGTGGTGACCAACTTTCACCGCCTGTATCAGAGATGCTGCTACCCCTTGGTTATTTAGTCGGGCCCACCGGGAAGCACCACACAGGGCGGAAGATGGCACTGAACGCTGCCCGCCCCTCCTCGGTGCCCTTGGGAGGAGTCAGTGAGGAGAGGGGAAGGGGCAGCTGGAAAAAAGCCCCGCTATTTGCTCCCCTCAGGGGTGTTTATTGGGAAATCTTGATGCAAACCGGGAAATAAACCTTGGAAAAGTGCTTCCTGCTCCCACCCGCGCCACATGCCCCTCCGGCCACACCTGTCCAGTCCCCCAGCAGTGCATCGGGCTGCCCGGGCCTGGGCCCATGTCAATGGTGATGGGGTGGGGGTGCGGGGGGTTCGGTCTGTGCATGGCACGGCCTGTCCGGCAGACACAGGCCAGGCCTCTGGCCCTGCCCCACGCCGAGAGCTGGGCTGCTCCCGCGGGATCGCTGAGCTGGCATGGCTGGGTTTGCCAGCCCCGGCTTTGCAAGCCCTGAGCGAAGTGACTAGAGGGGGAGGATAGATGATGCGGGGGGAGGTTGGCGGGGTGGGGGAGCTGGGGAGGAGGAAGGCAGGGCAGGGAGGGGGCGAACCGTGGTAACAGAAAAGCATACATACATCCTGCTGTTTTCCACCCGAGGGGCCGTGGGTGTGCCGGCCATTCTGGGCGCTGCCCTTGTGCCCGTTCTGGTGTGGCGTGGCCGAGCGGCTGTGCCAGGTGCGAGAGGAGGACGGGCTGCGGCTGGAGCGGAGGCTGCTGGGCTTGTGGCCGTCCTCTCTGTGCTTGGGGGTTAGTCTGTGGGAGAAAGAGGAGGGCAGATGTCCATGGATGGGCTCCTCGGAGAGGCGAGGGGGCAGCGGCAGGCTGGCATAGCTCCAGGACTTTCTGAAAGCGAGCATCTCGCTGACCGGCATTATACACATACACACAGATAACGGCAGGGCTGCCCCCACAGTGCCCTCTGCTGGCCGTGCATGGTGCTGCAGGTGTTCCCTGCCTCAGTTTCCCCCTCCAACATAGATCCCCACCCCCGCTGCCTTCCCACACAGGCTGGAGGTGGTGCCCTTGCTGAGCCCCCTGGCTAAGTCACTCACTAAACCTTAAAACATTCCAGGGTAAGAAAAGGCCAAACAAACAAAAGGCTCTTCCACCTGCTGGGCCCCTCTTCAGCCCAACCTGCGGGCTCACCCCCAGCCCTCTGGGCTCCCTTCCAGTCCCTCTGCTCCGGGACAGATCCCTGACTCCCGGCTGCTTCTCTGGAGCCCTTCCAGACCCTGCTTCAGGACCTGCCACAGCAGCCCACATGCTCCCTGTCGTTCCTTCCCAAACTGAGCCCTCTGCCCTTTTAAAGCCCAGGTGTTTACCAGGCTGTCACATGACCCCATTAGTCCCGCCCCCTCCAGCTGAGAGGCAGCTAATTATGGCCCTGGCAGGGCTGATTGAACAGGGCTGGCTGGTCCAAAGCTGGCTGGCCCTTAAAGGAACAGGCCATCCTGTTACGCACACGCAGATACTTCTACACAGATGTGTCCGCACACACACCCACGTACACACACGGCGGGCCTGATTCTGACCTCACTTGTGGTATTTTACGTCACTGGGACTCCACTGAAGTCACTCCTTCAGCCCCGACTGCTCCAAAGGCATGAGTCAGGCCTCCCAAAATCGCGAGATTGGCGTAAAAATCAGATTTTTTTTAAAAAAACCCCAACCATTTGGGGCTCTTTATTTGCTATCTGGTTTTGGAGCCTTCAGGAGTCACATTTCCAAGCTTTTCTCCTGACCAGCCCGGGCTGGAAATGCCCCCTGACTCCAGGAGCTGGGGCTTTCAGAAAGAACCCCCAGGAGTGCCAGGCTGGTGGTGCAGCGTGCTGCTGGGAGATCAGAACCAGGCCCCATCTTCTCGTCCCATAATACAAGGGGCGGTGAGAGCCAGGTCAAAATGGGGGAGGCTGCAGATACATCGAGGCTCACACGCACCTCTGACAGCCTCACCTGCACTCTGCTCACCCATCCCTTCCCAGCCCGCCACCCCAGAGCTGCCTAAAGTCCTCCCCCAACAGGTGGAGTTTTCCCCCCCCCCGTCTCCAGAACGGGCCAAGGTTCCTTGGGGGACCAAGCTTACCTGCCGGGCGATTTGGAGTGGCTGTAATCTGACGAGAGTGAAGTGCTTTGAGAGCTGCAGCTGCTGTGCCCGTGGCATCTGCGGGCTGGGGAGATGCTGGGGGATCTGCAAGGGGGAGGAAAGAGGGAGAGCAGGAGGGTGAAGGACCTGGCCAGAAACCAAGGCCCTGCTCCCACCTGAAACCTCACCTGGGCTTGCATCTGAAACCTCACCTCTTTCGCTCTTTGTTTTTCTCTTTCCTTTTGTTCTTGGGGCTCCGGGACCTACGGAACAGAAGAGAACTGAAAACACAGACGGCAGCGCGTGACCCAGCGTGTGGATGGGGAGGGGTTGTCTTCCAAGCTGTCATCCAACCGGCCAGCCCCGAGCGCGGCGCTCAGCATGGGTGCACACGGGGGCTGGCACCGGGAGAGGGAGCAACAGAACTGAAGAGGGGCTCTCAGGACCCCTGCCACGCCCATCCCCATCTTAGCACGTGGGCTGAGACCGACAAGGCTGCACGCCCCATGCTGGGGCAAATTCTCTGCTGGCGTCAATGGCGTTTTGCAGGGAATCGGTCCCATCACTACTACAATGATCCTGGCCAGACTCACTCACTCGGTGTGCTGAGACCCCACTGACCTGTAGGGTGCATGTTTACCTTGGCCCAGCCCTGGTGATTTCCAGCACTGTGTGATTTGCATTGGTTTCCAATCCTCCCCCGCCCCCGCTTTGAATTTGAGTTCAAACACCCTCCCCCCACCCCCGCTCCAAATTCAAAGCAAACCTCCTTCAACGCAGGGGGAGTCTGGCACCGGTTTTGATGCTAAACCAGTGAGTAGCCCAGGTTGGCCGAACACCGGGCCCCACGAGCCAGTGAACCGTGGCTCCGTTTCACGGGGATTCTCCATCACCCGCGGTCTTTAAATCGCGACGGGATGTCTTTCCCAAAGAGATGCTCCTGCTTGACCAGAAGGCATTGGGCTGGATGCAGAATCACTGCAGGGTTCCCCCGGGCTGTGCAATGCAGGAGATCAGATCGCCAGGATCCCAGCTGGCCTTCGTATCTATGACTCTAAGTCGGTCAGATACCCCAAAGCCGGAGGCCTATCTCATGGGCTCGGGTCACAGGACAGGATCTCACTGTTCTACCCCCACCCACTGTATCCCCCGCTCCAGTTTTCCTGTGCCCTTTTTTCGCCCACGTGTGTATTTCCACCACCAGAGGGCAGCAGCGTACCGACACAAAGCCAGGCCACGGGTTTGGCAAGGCAAGGTGCCTAACCCCCCTCGCCCCCTGCAGGAATGGGAGAGGGGCTTGTCAGGAGCCCTGCATCCCGCAACAAACGTGGGCAAGGTTGAGCGGGGAGCCAGGGTTGAGGACCGGGCCCGTCTCCCCTTGCGCCAGGGGACGTCTCCATTGGAGCTGGAGCCTCTCGGACCGGATCGTGCTCCGGGGGCAGCGCCTGGAAATCACACCTCCGGCTCCAGCCTCGTCGTGCCCCAGACTTGGACCCATTGAATCCCAGTGGAATGGCTGATAAAGGGCCTGGCTTTTCCATCCCCTCTTGAGCCTTGTTTCAAAACACAAGGCAGAGGGCAAAGCCTTGCCGGAGCGGAGCAATGTGCTTGGAGTTACACCGGCAACCTGAACTAAGGCACGGATCCTCATGCTGCTGGGGGGACAGGGGGAGGGATCCTGGATCTGGCGGTGCTGCTGGGGGGGCAGGGGGAGGGATCCTGGATCAGGGGACTTGCAGGGGGAGGAATCCTGAATCTGGATCCCCCCGGCTGTGTAAGCTGGAAAGCTTGTCTCCCTCCCTAACAGAAGCTGGGCCAATCAAAGATACCCCCTCCCCCAGGTTGTCTCTCTAATTAGTGTAGAGGTCAGGGAGGCACATCAGACACATGACAGTGGCTTTCTTTGCCTTCCTCTGAAGCATGGAGCCTGCAATCTGCAGGGCACCGGGCTGGCTTGACAAGCGGCCTGGTGGCTCCCAGGGCCTGTTCCAGTGGAGAGAGTCTGTTATATCTGCACGCCGAGGAGCAGACGTAGCCCTTTCGCAGCGGCCCAGCCTTGCCGAGTGCACAGGAGGCTGGGATCTGTTGGGAGCAGCCTCCCTGGGGCCGAGCCGGTACGCACGGTACCAACCTGGAAGTGACTCTTTGCGAGCGTCTTACTGGCGGCCTCTGCTGGAGCAGGGGAAGAGATCGGTGCTGGCAGTGAAGTGAAGATGGGTTGTCACCGTCTAGCAGCTCCACCCCGAGCCCCCTTTGCTTCTGGCTTCCCGTGGGACGTGCCTCTGGTGTGCAAATGAGCCTGGCTCGGCTCCTGCACCCACTTGGTGTTGACACAGTCAAACAGCTCAGGGGCACACGACCCTGCCTGCTTCCCCTCCTCGGTGAGGCCACCCCTGAACGGTCATTGGCAGGGAGCGAATTTCCCTCGGGGCAGGGGACGGCACAGGCCTGAAGGGAGGAGAGGGTGCCGTGGGGGGACCAGCAGGCAGGGTGGGCCAAGCTAGGGAGTGAGGCTCTTGCATCGATCACTCTCACCTGTGTCTTCTCTTCTTCCGGGATCCAGACTCAGACCTAAGGGACGACAGGGACAAGAGAAACAAGAGACAGAAACAAAGCAGATGGGTTGAGATACGCTCTGAGGGGGTCAGCCCTGCAACTGTGATGCCCCGAGGGAAGGGAAACTGGTAGCCAGGGAGCTCCAGGGGGAGGGACAATGCCCTTATATTTCAGTGGTGCGTCTACATACCCCCCTACAAACCCTCTGTCCACCCGTCCCCATACATACCTGCCTATCCAGCCCTCCAGCCCCAGATATGCCCACCTATTTATCTACCGCAGACAATTGTATTTCCATGTTTCACAGCCAGCCCTCCAGTGAAATCATTTCACCCGCAAACCACCTGCAGCTGAATCTGGGTGGGAGGCGGCAGTGGTTTAAACAGCCCATGGCATAGCAGCTTGGAACAGGGGAGGCAGAAGAATCCTGTGTCCATTTGAAATGGGTCCAGCGGGGGGTTGGGATTTAGTTCAAAATAGACCGACCTGCCCCGGGACTGAGGCAGGGCCCTGGGGCGAACACCCCGACTTATACAAAACATGGGATCTCCACTAACCACAACTGGCCAGGCCCTTGATTTTACATCTGGGCCCAAAGAAGCCACCTTCACCAGCGCAGCGCCCCCCGGCACCATGCCGGGCCGTCGGCTCCGCGTGCTGATTCAGAGATATATTGTGCCACCAACACCAGCTGTGACTTTCTTGGGGGGTTATATTCCAGGGCTGAGCCAGCCCTGCCCTGGTTACTTTATGAGAGCTGATGGGCTCGCAGATCAAGGCTCCGTATAGCAGTAATGCTCAAGTCCGTCTACTTGCTACTGTAACACACGAGTGTAACGTCCCGCAGTAACACCATGGCTGAACACTCAAGAATAGCTGCGTACTGAAGTAATACCCAAGGACAGCTGCATATTACAGTGACAGGGGCACGCTAGAAGGCCTAAACCAGCTCCTCTAACCGTGTCTGGCCATCACCTTCTCTGGTTCTGGTCCAGCTGGGACGAGCGAGGTGCTGTCGGGATCACACCTCCCTGGGGCGTGTTACCGCCCCCAAAAGAGGGGGGGTGGGGGATCAAAGATTTATCAATGATCATTTATTCAAACTCTGGAATCCTTGAACCCAATAAGATGGCAGTGTGCAAAGGAACCAGTCAGCTGCTCAGCAGGCCGGAGAAGGATTGGCTGAGCCACCTCTGAGGTCACCCAGGTGGTGCTTTACCTCTTGGGATGCTAGTCGCAGGTGGACACAGGAGCCAGAAGGGTGGGGGTATAATCTGAAGGAAAGCGACCCTGCCCGGTGTGGTCTCTGGGGTGGGGGTGACCCTACGTGATTGATCTAAGGAGGGCAGGGGGTTCTCCACCTGGACCCTACCGATGCCACTCCTTGGTTGGCCCTTGGGATTAGCACCCGGTGCTCTCTGTCCACCAGGGAGCGCCACCCCACGGTGCAACGAGGTCCCGGCTGATGCCCAGGTTGAAGGGGAGACACGGGGTCAGCAAGGTTGGGATTTCACTGGCAGAATAGGAGGGACTCGGTGTCACCGGTCCCTGGCTGCGTAGCCACGGCGGAGTCTGGGCCTTAGCCCCCGCAGGGAGACACCAGGCAGTGCAAGCGGACAGTATCCAGCCTGACTCCGTGTGGTGCTCTGCCATGGAGAGAGGTTGACGGGCCCGCTACGGCCTCGGCTGACAGAGGGGGCTCCTTTTGCTCAGGCAGGAGAGGCTCCTGCTTCAGGATCCAGAGGCCCCAGGGTGGATCCCCACTGCCGATGACCCGCCGGGGGGCTGCAGCCTCAGCTGAGCAGCCCCACTGTACTGGTTACAGCCCAGTCCTACCTCTCCTTCAGGGGGCCGGACGCCGCACGCCTCCTGCCAAGAGGCCATTTGCACCTGGGCGGCCCCGAGCCCTTCCACACTCCCCCCGCCCCCAGCGGGTGCTGCCTGGAGCCTCTGCCTGCTGCATCATATTCCCCAGCGATGTCCTAATTGCTTCTGCACTGGTCATTTATAACATCCCGCTGCCCTCCTGTCCTGAGGGGGATGACTTCAGTATCGGGGGCGGGGGGAGCACTGAGTTCAGGTTTAAGGGCCTTAGCCCAGGCAGCTGCTTTGTAAGCCGGATCGGCTGCTTGCCCTGCATTATTCACGGCCCCGGAGACCCACAGTGCAACACCGGCAGCTGCCGGAAGCTGTGGGGCCAGAGCCGGTTTTGAGTCAATCGAATTACACCAAGGTGAGCTTTGGCCCTTCCCCCCTCAGCCACGGATGGATTAACCCTTTCCGCTGCGTGGCCCAGCCCAGCCCAGGAGGGAGCGAGCTGGGGAATGAGGGTGGAGAAGGATGGAGCAGCGAGGGGAGGGGTGACACAGAGAGATGGGGCACGACTCCCCCATCCCAGTACCTGTCTCGTCTGTGTTTCTTCCCGTTCTTCTTTTTCTTCTCCTTCCGGAGCGGCGAGGAGCTGTCGCAGCTGGAAAGCAAACACGGGAGCCTTTGAGTGGCGGGTGGGATGGGACCTTCCTGCCCCGGGACGGGGCCTCCAGAGGGCTGGAGAGTTTGCTGGGACCAGTGTCTGCGAACACGGCCCCCTCCTGCCCACGCCTCTGAGCCGGATACCCGACATGTGCCGAACCCTCCCGAACAGCCGGCGCCGTGTCCCCATGAGCCAGCGCGCACCCAGCCCGACGCAGGGAGGTTTCAGAGAGAAAGGCTGAGATCCCTCCAAGCAGCCAAAGGGATTTGGACACTGAATTATAACCGGATGTTCAAATCCACTGGGTGGCTCAGAAAGTCTCAGCCAGCAAAAACAGAGTCAAGAGCATTAGAGAGGATCTGAAAAATGGGGAAACGGATTTTCCTGGGCGGTCTTTTGGTTGAAATTTTGTTTAAAAATGTGATTGAACTGTTGTTTTTTGAAACGTTTTGGCCAGCTCTAAAAACACTTCTGCTGCATCTCAGTGCCACCTTGTGGTCCCGGCAGGATCTAACAGGAAACGGGCCACAAAGCCCATGGGCCAAAGATTCCTAACGAGTATTATGATTTATGCTAAGCGTTGGCGCTGTCCAAACACAGACTGAACTGGGAGCCCCGGCCCCGAAGAGCTTCCAGTCTGCGGAACCTTAATACGCCCAGCTGGAGTCAGATGCACCAAAGCCTTTAATGCTGGCGCTTCCGCGGAAGTCCCCGGGAAATCACCCTTCTGCAACGCCTGGCAAACTAGGGCCCGCGGGCCACATCCGGCCCGCCGGCCCGTCCTGCCCGGCCCCTGAGCTCCTGGCAGGGGAGGCGAACCCTGGCCCCTCCCCTGCTGTCCTCCCTCCAGCTGCCAGACGAGCTGCTCTGAGCGGCATGGTAAGGGGGCCGGGGGGTTGGATAAGGGGCAGGGGGTCCCGGGGGGCAGTCAGGGGACAGGGAGCAGGGGGCGGTTGGATGGGGCGGAGGTTCTGAGGGGGGTGGTCAGGGAACAGGGGGTGTTGGATAGGCGTGGGAGTCCGGGGGGGCCTGTTAGGGGGCTGGGCGGGGGGGGGGTGGATAGAGGGTGGGGCGGTCAGGGGACAGGGGGTTTGGATCAGGGGTGAGGTCCTCGGGGCCAGTTAGGGGCGGGGTCCCGGGAGGGGGCAGTCAGGGGACAAGGAGCAGGGGTGTTGGATGGGTCGGGAGTTCTGAGGGGGGCAGTCAGGGGGTGGGAAGTGGGAGGGGGCAGATAGGGGGCGGGGGGTTGGATAGGGGGTGGCTTCCCGGCGGGGCCAGTTAGGGGCGGGGTCCCGGGAGGGGGCAGTCAGGGGAAAGGAGCAGGGGGGTTGGATGGGTCGGGAGTTCTGAGGGGGGCAGTAAGGGGGCAGGAAGTGGGAGGGGGCAGATAGGGGGCGGGGGGGTTGGATAGGGGGTGGCGTCCTGGCAGGGGCAGTTAGGGGCAGGGGTTCCTGGGAGGGGGCAGTCAGGGGACAAGGAGCAGGGGGGGTTGCATGGGCGGGGGTTCTGAGGGGGGCAGTCAGGGGGCGGGAAGTGGGAGGGGGCAGATAGGGGGCGGGGGCCAGGCTGTTTGGGGAGGCACAGCCTTCCCTACCCAGCCCTCCATAAAGCTTTGCAACCCCGATGTGGCCCTCGGGCCAAAAAGTTTGCCCACCCCTGGTTTAGGGGCTCAGGATGTGACCCTGAAGCCACCATGTTGTTGACATGATTGCTAAAGGAAAGCATTTCACCGGCCCCTCAGGGTGTCGCTGCTCTGGCCGCACATGTCGACACTCCCTAGCTGGCTTTGGTCTAGTGGCCACTCCGCTGTGCAGCGGGGGTCCTGGGCGGGCAGGGCTCGCTGCGGATTCCCTGCTATTGTTCCTCAGGCAGCTAGAGCCAAGCTACCCCGGCCTGTCTCCATGGGCTGCAGTCACACCTGGGGCTGCGGTGGAGACACGCCCGGAGACTCCCACCCCGCTGGTTCAGAGAGGCAGCAGTGCTTGGCAGCCGGCTGACGTGCCGGGCATTGGCTTGGCGCGGCGTATCGCCTGTTCCCGAGCCAACTGGGCCACAGCTTGACTTCAGTGGGGCTTTGACACGGACACGGCCCGGGCAGACGCTGGGGAGGGAGCCGAGGGCTTGGCTCAGTGCTTGCAGCTCTGGGACTGTGGACTTACCTAGAGAGGGGGGAGCGCGCTGGGCTGGAAAGAATGGCCAGCCTGCTGCCTCCTCCCATCCCATCCCATCCCTTACATTTCAGGGGGGCCCACAAGGAGGACGAGCAGGCTCCCGCGTCACTCACCTGCGCTCTGATCCAGGTTTCCTCTTTTTGCTGGCATTGGGGGAGGAACCAGATAAACCACGTTACTGGCAGCAATGTCTTTCCTGTGGGCAGAGGGCCAGAGCCCAGGACCCATTCAGGAGCTGGGCCCCTGATGGGGACCACTTAGCCCTTCTGTAGGGCTCGGGGCCCGAATCCTGCTCAGTTCCCACCATGCTGATGCTGAGCATCCATCTCCCCCCCCACTGGGGCGGGCCTGCTCCCAGCATGTGCCCTGAAGTTTGTTCGGCTGGGTGATGGCACGTCTCCTAATGACATAATTACATGCAATGATTATCTCATGCACGCACAGTAATTGCCTCGTTAGGACGTGGCATGGCAGAGAGGGGAAACATTATGGTGCTGGTTGCATTCCAGGACAAAAAGACATTTACACACACACAAACTCCCGTCAGAGGAGCCAGAGCTCCCGGCAGCAGAGAGAGCCGGGCAGCCCCAGACAAGGATGGGATGGAAGTGGCCACGGCGGCAAAGGGTCCTTGAACGTGCTTGATTGCGCTTGGCAATTGGGGGCGAAGGGAATTACCCCTCCGCTGTTATCTTCTGTTCTCAGTTTGCATTTGAGCGAGGGTGGCCATATTTACCAAAGTAAAATCGGGACCCCGCACAGGGCTGGCCTAAGCTGCCTTTCTGACATCACCACTTGCCTGAGGACACACACAACCCCCTCTCTCATGGGGCTGCCCCAAGCCGCCTGGCATTGCTGCTCGCCCAGAACTGGGGCTGACCACCCGCACCCCGCACTGACCGAGCACCACGCTGCCCGGGACTGGGTCTGTCCACCTGAGCCTCGTGACTTAGACCCGCGTCACCCTGGACTGACTGCCTGAGCCCCACCACCCAGCGCCTCGTCTTGCCACTGGTCTCCCCAAACGTTCCTCCGCACCCCATCAGCTGGCACACTTGCCAACTGATCAGAGCAACTTGCAATTGTCAAGAGCAAATGGGACAAATGCCCAGGGTTGCCAAAAAAAAGCCAGGATGTCTGGGACAGGGCTTAAAAAGGGGACTGTCCCGGGCAAAACGGGACGTATGATCACCCTAATTTGAGCCTTACTGTAAGGTGCATGTCTGGTTGTGTGTGTGTCCGTCCCTCTGGTGGTTGTGTGTGTGCATGTCTGTATCTCTCTGTTATCTTCATCTCTCTTTCTGGGTAGCTCTTTGTGTGTGTTCTTGCTTTGTATGTGTGTGTGTGTGTGTGTCTCCGTAACAGTGTCTTTCCTTCTCTGCATGTCTCTGGATCTGTGCGTATGTCGGTGTTGTATCTCTGTGTGTGTGTGCGCATAGAGGTCTCAGTGACACGGTCTCTCTAGCTCTGTGTGCGTCTGTATCTCCGGGAGTGTTTTGTGTCTCTGTGTGTGTGGGCAGGGCTCTGTCACAGCATCTCCCTATCCACAATCCTGCATCTCTCTCCGCCTCGGTGAGTGTCTCTGGATCCACGGCAGCTTGTTCCCAGCTAGGATTACGGGCAGCCTCCCCTCACCCTGTCTGACCCCAGCAATCCAGCTGGGCACTTGGCCAAGCCTGGCCGAACAGGGCAGCTGGGAAACACTCTGCTGCCCCATGGCAGCTGGGACCCCTGGCACACCCCTGAGTTGAACCACTCTCACATCTAACAGGGTCACGTGCTGACTCCGGGTGGGATGGGCGGAATTTAAGACTCAAAGGCAATGTAGGTAGCTGTGGGGTTCCTGCTAACATGCCTGGGAGCTCGGTGACTAGTTCCCATTGATCCTAAAGCTCGGAGCTGGCTTCGGACAGGCTCGGATTATCCTGACTCTGCGTATTCAGGGAGTCACCTTGCCTCTTAAAGTGGTGACGCCATATCCATTTCTGGGGGCCTTCCCTCTCAAGTTAAAGCTTGCCAAGTGGTGAAAATGAACGTGTCACATTCCCTCCGAATCGAACTGTTGCTGGAGGGGGAGGCGAGACCCAGGGGGTGGCGTCGGGGTAAAGGGAGTCCTGGGGAATGGGGAGGGGACAGCCAAACAAACAGAGGGAGAGGGTGGATGGAGAGGAACGAGGATAAGGCAAGTGTTGGGGTTGGAAGGGGAATGCCGGGCTGGGGCCCAGGAGGGGAGTGGGCCCCACAGGGTGGGGGCAGGCTGGGGTACACACTCCTGCGGGGGAGGGAGCCAGGAAGGAGCAAGCAGCCCTGTGTCCGACTCCTCTTCCTCGTTAAGTGCGGCTCTTCCCAGCCTGCTAGGAAGGCAGTCAGTCCTTGATTAATCGCCAGCCAGGCCGGGCTCATTAAACCTGCTGGCTCCAGCTCGGCAGACAGAGTCATTAGCAGTGCCAAGGCTGGACAGTCCCCAGCTCAGAGCCCCCCGGGGTGCCCCCGGTAATGGGGCGATGGACGTGGCATGGCCTGATCAGGACTTTCTAGACACAAGCAGGGGGCTGGGGCTGAGTGGGACCGGTCGGCACGCACCAGCTGGGGGCGGGGGTGCCCATGGAATGGACTGCGGCACTTGTTTGCACAAGCTGTGGGGGCAGATGCTTTCTCCCCCTGGCTGCCCCATGCAGGGCCGTAGCCGTGCGCTGGGTGGGCTCGGCCAGCAGATCCCCCATGCAGGGGTCTGAGCCCCATTCTAACACCTGCCTAAGCAGCCCGGCCAGCTGCATGGGGCAAAACGAGAAGGGATGGCACCCAGTGTGGCTAGAGTTCGGATCGCGCTTCATGGGAGACACCCCCTCTGCCACACTCCCCCTTCTCTCTAATACGCTCACCCATTGGGGGCCAGATCCTTGGCTATAGCTGTGCAAAAGGGGACCCCCAGCTAGCTTTATGTTCCCCCTGCACCTCAGCTCTCCAGACCTGGGCAGCTCAGAGGTGCGACATGGTGGCCAGAGGAGGGCAGGGCCCTAGCAGACCGATTCAGCAAGCATAAGCTAGAGCAGCCCGGTGGTCCCTCTACTTTACGTGAGGAGTCAATTTGGCCCTAGGATCGAGGGTAGGGGGGAATCCATCCCAGAGACTCTAGCAGGGCAGACAATATTGCTGCCATCTGCCCTGGGAATGCTGGGATTTCTGTAAGGAGCTGGGAGCCTGCCAGAGAGCACTGTCACCGCCAATTCATATGGGGCTTGGGGTCAGCACACCAGGCTGGGACACACAGCAAGCAAGCGAGCATTTTGCACCAACAGCTTCCTGTCTGGGTGGAAAACACTCCAAAGAAACTTGCAATGGAGCCATCAGACCACCCACAGTCCATGGAACCAGCCCTGGCCATTTGTCATTTCCAGGGGAGGCGGTGTGGCTGAAGCGCCGGGTGGGGACTCTGGGCTCCTGGGTTTTTACGCACTGACTCACTGTGGGTAGGGCTATGCTGCACTGGGAGGTGCTGCCCATGGAGGGTTCCCTGTTCTAGCGAGGGCTACAGTGAAGCCAGGGCAGTAAGTGTTCGAGTGGCTGGCCCATGCCGCCGTGGCTTCGCTGATATTGTTACTGGAGCTGGCTGGATCAATGCGAGCTTGGGTAGATCACCCGGTGCGGCAGGCACCTCCCACTGCAGCGTAGACGGACCCTCAGTGACCTTAGACAAGGCATTTTCCCCCTGCTTTGTGCCTCAGTTTCCCCATCTGTAAAGCAGGGATAAGGGAGCCCATTAAACGCCAGCACAAGGGGGCGTCTCTCTCCCAGGCTCTCCTCCCCACAGGTCATTGCAGGTCCACGGTGGGACGGGCCTGAGCCTGCTGCTTGGGCACGAGATGGGGAAGAGAAGGTGTTCCGGCAGGTGCTCGGGAATATCGGGTCACAGGCAGCAAGCCAAGGTCACACTTCAGGGAGAATGCCAGGACCCCCAGTCGGCCCTGCCTCTGCCCGGGGTCCCTGGGAGTCCCCGCGACTCCAAGAGCCAGCCCAGGGCATGAGGGAAGATCAAAGAAGGGCACCTCAGGCCGGGGTGGTGGGGAACATTGTGGTAGGCCCCCTTGGCCCAGTCCCACAGTGCTGGCTGCCCCACCCTATTCAGGGGAAGGGGAGGGGAGGGAGAGAGAGAGGGATGGGCAGAGAGAGAAAGTGGCTGGGGAAGGGAAGGGAGTGAGGGGTCCCCAGGGAGCCGGCTGGCAAGGGGTTGAGGGTCCTGCTTGGCTTGGGGTCAGGCAGGTATGCCCCTCCCAGTGGCAGGGGCTCATGGACTGGGCCAGAGGAGCAGGAAGGGGCAGGCAGGTGACTCACCGGCTCCGGCGATGACCCGATTTCTTTTTCTTTTTCTTCTTGGGTGGCGGCGAGGTGGAGCTGCTTAACCTCCTCTTCAGCCTGCGGCGGAGCGGAGAGGCTCAGGGCGGGGAGCGGTCACCGCGAGCCCCCCCACAACCCAGCCCCTGCGCAGAGCGGCGGGGGTGCCTTACCCCCAGTGTGTGTGCGTGGCCATGGCTTTCTTGGGGATAAAGGTGTTTTCAAACCTGCTTTAGGTGGCATAGTAACTAACACATGTTAACACCCTCGTGTAGACGCAGCAGTTTGTCTCTCAGCATGTATGTGTGGGAGGATGTCAGCCCTACGGGGGAGCCTAGAATTTATCGTAAGCAGCTAACACCTGTTAAAACCACTGGCTGCTCCCCACTAGGATAACAACCTACTGCTGCTACCCGCTTGCAGAGCAGTGCTTGTAGCTCAAGCACCAGAGGTTAGCGCTGTGATGGTGAAGGTCCCAGGCTGGAGCCGATGTGGCAGGGGGAAGTAATTATGGAATCTCAGCAGCGAGCCTCAAGGTGATCATTGCTTCGGAGATGAGTAACTGGCGTGCGTACAATACACCACACCGTGCTTCCCCTCCCCCCCCAGCAGGTGTTGGATGCTCACGTTAGCGGACATGGCCGCAGAAGGAGAGACACCAGGCTTGGTTTCTGAAGCAATCTGCCGCCATGACCCAGCCGTGCTGCCTAGGAGCACCCGGGCTCGTCCTGCTCCCACTGATTGATGGAGTAGCTTGTCCGTGCACTTGCGCAGGGCCTGATCCAAAGCTCTTTGAACCGATGGGAAGACTTTCCTGCACCATCATGGGCTTTGGATCAGGGCCGGAGTGCTCGGACCAGGTCCTTCTCTAGTGGCTCTCCCAGCCTGCCACTTACTCCTTTAGCTCAGGGCTTGTGTTTTTGCTGCAGATGGGGGCTAACTGGGTTCCTTGGGGGCTGGCAGCTTGTTCCTTTGGACCCAGGTTTCTGTGCCCATTGACAACGCTGCCATCTGTCTGCATGTGTCCTTACAAGGGGGCAGTGCGGCGACCCCTTGTGGCGGACGTGTGCATCGGCATGGCGGCACCTTCCTTGGCAGAGAGATTCTGCAGGAAGCGAGAGGTCCTGCTTTGGCACTGGGCAGGCAGCACTGAAATGATCATTTCTTGTTCATCTCAAAGCTCAGGCTTCCCCCCTCCCTCGCACCTAACCACCAGAAGGAGGGAAACCATGGAGAGCAGCAACAACGGACACATTCAAAGGGCTGAAGGACTGACGGCCCAGAGAAGATTAAAAGCGCTAAAGCTGCATGGCTGGATTAAGCGGGCACACTCCTGTCAGCAAACGTGTGACGGCTGGAAACAGCTGGGCAGGAGAGAAATCTGCTCAGGGCACAAAATGTATGTGCAAATGAGTGCAAATGAGTGCCCACCTGATGGGCACGCACAATTCCCATGCTGTGTGACACAGGCTGGGCACTCTTCTGGGCTCACTCAGCCGCCCGCTGGGCCTGGGCCATTGTTGCAACTGGGCACACATAGTAGGCCCCTGTCTGCCTGCACATGTGGCCCACAGTCCCAGTTTGACTTTTCCAAACCGGGCCTCCTGTGTCTTTCCCATGTTGAACATCTGGCGAATCCACGGCGGAGAGCAGCTCACTGAGCCCGAATCCCAGTTCAGGTGGGACTGAGAGGAGCGCTTGGTTCTCAGGTGTACCCTTGGCCACCTGCAAACACTTCAAGGCTGCGTGTGCTGGAATGTGAGCCTGTTCTCCTAAGAGCCCTGGCAGCGTCCCCAGTGATTTCTGTGGGCTATAAGCACGTTCTCCAGGGGATCCGGGCATGGATCCGGGCATGCCCCCTGCCAGCCCCCCCAGCCACTTACCTGTGCTCTCTGTGGCTGCAGTGATCTCGATAGCAGTCGGCTGGGCAGTCACAGGGCAGCAGGCAGCCCTCTCCGTACTCTGGGTACTCCATGGCGTACTCCTCCAGGTGGTGGTTTTCGATCACGCTGCCCAAGGGAGAAGACGCAGTCTGATCAGGCTTGTCACTGACTATACACCAGGCCGTGCCGACACCACCTTCACCCTAGGCCTGTGCCTAGCCTCTCCTTGCGGGGCACCTCTCCAAAGGCCTGGGTCGAGATGCCTTCCCCTCCAGCCATACTAGCGCCCTAACCACTGGGCCATCTGTCATCGGCAATACAAGTGCTCGTGGGTGACTTTCCTTGAGCCCAGGTGCAGGCTCTGTTTCATTAAGACGCGACTGCCGGGATTGTTCAGTGGCCCATACTTTCCTCTGGCGGCAGCAGCAAACCAAGCCCCAAGGACGGCAGGGTTTCATGTGAGCGATAGAGAACGACAGGGACTGATAGTCCTTCAGGAGACAGAGAGCTGCCGGGACAGCAGCCCCATGCCACGCAGGTGGGGAGACCCGTCCTACCGGAGGGCCGGGCCCCTTTTTGGAAAGCAATGACTGGAAGCAATTCCTCCGACCCCTGCTCGTTCCAGCCTGAGACGGGATCTGAGCCCGACCTGTCCCAAGGGAGAGCAGATACATCCCTTTCTACTGCAGGGGCTTCCGCTCGGTCTGATCAGAGGCAACACAGCACCCAGCGCAAGGGGCTCCTGGTCTGTGACGGGGGCTCCTAGGTGCTACCGTAATACACCTAATAAATAAATACAGCACCCAGCACAATGGGACCATGGTCCATGACGGGGGCTCCTAGGTGCTACCATAATACACCTAATGAATAACATGCAGCACCCAGCACAATGGGGTCCTGGTCTGTGATGGGGGCTCCTAGGCACTCCCACAAGACATATAACTAACAATATGATGCCCCAAAAGGCCGTAGACCAGCCAGCCTCACCTGGATGAGCTTCACAATCTGGCCCTTGTGGCCTTTGTTACAATGGAAGGACTGTTGTGGATGTAAATCACAGAGGGTGAACTGGATCCAGCACGACGCCAAGGGACCACTGAGCCCTACGTCAGCCCCAAGGCCCAAGAGGACTCAGCTGGAGGTCTGGCCTCTGTGTCTGATTTTCTGGGTGATGCTACGGGACCCATGTGACTTTCCCACCCGGATGTTCTCCCATGGAGAACCCCACTCCAATCTCTAAAGAATCAGAATTCTGCCTCTGGCTCCTTCCATCCATGGGCATCTGGTAGTGCCGGGATTCCACCCGTCATGAGGAAACTGAGGCACAGGGAGCTGAAGGGAGTCACACAGAGAGGCAGCGGCAGAGAGGGGAACAGAACCCAGGAGTGCTGATGCCCTGCCCCTGCTTTAGCCACTGGACCGCACTCAGCAGCATGGAACCGATTCAAGGGGCTGGACTCTGGAGCATGCTCTGCCCAGGGGGTGGGAGGCTCACAGGGGTGGGCACAGAAGGCACCAGGATGAAGAACTCTCACCCCCCCACCCTGCAGTGCCCCTGGCTTTGCCTGCTGAGATCAGGCAGCATCTCCACCAGACACCTTCCTGGCTGCCCTACCCTCACGCACTGGGGCTCCTCCTTCCCTCAGCCCTGCTTGGTTGGAGCCCCACACTCTGATGGGGCTCGTGTCAGTGTGGGACATCTCTACTCCCAGCGAGAAGCAGCAGCGGGCAGTGCGAGGGGGGCAAAAGTCCCTCTAACAAAGTGCTACAGAACACCCCCCACACCACCATCGGGGGCTGCTGCCAGTGTCCCAACCTCAGCAGGCCTGAGGAGCTGTACCCACGGACACACTGGCAGGGAGAGCCTCGCCGGGGGTTCAAAGGCTTCTTCTTCCCTCTGATCTCGGCTCTTCCCCCTCCCCGGGCATTGCGGTATTCGCTGTTTCCCCGTTTGTTAGCTGGGTCCCCCAGTGGGGGAGGCATGTGGGCCAATGAGGGGGCCTGTCAATTTCCAGGGGAGGGAATGACTTTGCAGCTTAGTGAGCGGCTGAGAAAAGCGAAGGGGGTGCCCCAGGCAAGTGAGAGAGGCTCTGGGCAAGCCCTGGGGGCAAGTCACGCTTCTGAGACGCATGGCAGTCTCTGGGGCAGGCGTATGTGCACTAGGGGCGGCAGCGGAAATGGGCCTCCTGTCTTTGCCCTGCGAAGAGCTGGAGCTGCCCAGCTGGGCTGGGGATTTCAGGCCACGGTGGCTGAGGCTCGGCAGCTGTAGTCAGAAGGAACGGCTGGCTCGGGAGAGGCGACCTGGCCCAGCCAGCCTCCTGTCTCTGCCCTGTCCCCTCCATGCCAATGACCCGCACTCATTTATACTCCTGGCTTCAGTGGCTTTTCTAGCTGCGCCTGCATCCCGCTAGTGTCTTGGGAGTTTGGCTGTACAGCATGAAGCGTACTGCTGCCTGCATCGCCCATGTCAAGGCGATGTCCGTGCCAACGGCAAGGACGGGCACTGCAGAAGTCGCTTGGCTTGGCTGGTGACATAGGAGCAGGAACTCTTGCCATTGGCTCCAGTGCCCGCAGAGAAGGTGCAGAGCACAGACTGATCTTCCGCCATGGCCGAAGCTGCCAGGGGGCATGGCGCAGAGCTGTTCGGAGCCAGGAAGCGGAAAAGCCATGTGACGGAGGAGATTGGGAGATCAACACTTGGCTCTACCCCAGATTCCCTCTATGACCTTGGGCAAGTCACTTAATCTCTCTGTGCCTCAGTTTCCCATCTGTAAAACGGGAATAATAATTCTGTCTTGTCTATGTAGATGGTAATCTTTCACTGTATGTGTGCACAGCACCTTGCACAATGAGGCTTTGATCTCGGTTGGGGCTTCCAAGTAAATAACAGTCAGGCGATAAGAGGGAAGGTCCTCGCAAGATAGGAGTCAAAGGGTAGGAATAAATGGTCAGTTTCCACAATGGAGATACGTAAATAGTGGGGTCCCCCAGGGGTCTGTACTGGGACCAGTCCTATTCAACATATTAGTAAATGATCTGGAAAAAGAGGTAGACAGTGAAGTGGCAAAGTTTGCAACAGACACAAAATTACTCATGATATTTAAAGCCAAAGCTGACTGTGAAGAGCTACAAAAGGATCTCACAAAGCTGGGTGACTGGGCAGCAAAGTGGCAGATGAAATTCAGTGTTGATAAATGCAAAGTAATGCACATTGGAAAACATAATCCCAACTGCACATACAAAATGATGGGGTCTAAATAAATTGTAACCACTCAGGAAAGAGATCTTGGAGTCACTGTGGATAGTTCTCTGAAAACATCCACTCAATGTGCAGCAGCAGGCAAAAAAGCCAACAGAATGTTAGAAACCATTGGGAAAGGGATAGATAATACGACAGAAAATATAATGCCACTATGTAAATCCATGGTACACCTGCACCTTGTATACTGTGTGCAGTTCTGGTTGCCCCATCTCAAAAAAAAAAAAAAAAGAATTGGAAAAAGTACAGAGAAGGGCAACAAAAAGGATTAAGAGCATGTAACAGCTTCCATACGAGGAGAGATTAAAACCACTGGGACTGTTTAGTTCAGAAAAGAGACGATGAAGGGAGGAGATGACAGAGGTCTATAAAATCATGACTGGTGTGGAGAAAGTGAATAGGGAAGTGTTGTTTACCCCTTCACATCACACAAGAACTAGGGGTCATGTGATGAAATGAATAGGCAGCAGGTTTTAAACAAACATCAGGAAGTACCTCTTCACACACCGCACAGTCAATATGTGGAACTCACTGCCAGGGGAGGTTGTGAAGGCCAAAAGTATAACTGGGTTCAAAGAAGAATTAGATCAGTTCCTAGAGGGTAAATCCATCAATGGCTATTAGCCAAGATGGTCAGGACTGCTACCCCAACCATCAGTTAGAACACATAAAGACAGCCTGAGGATGTTGAGGGCTCTGTCTGAGATCACTACAGTGGTTGCAAAATAAAGTCAATATAAAGGTTCAGTGGGGTCAGACCCCATTGGCTGGGGTCAATGGGATTGAACTGCGGGTATGCGGGGCCCAGTAGATATCTTGAGTTGCTGGAGATGTTAGCCTGGATTTTCGCAGTTCCCTGGGGCATGTGCGGTCCCTCCACAGATCACAGAAGGATTATCCGGGATTAGCAGGGGGTGAGGAAGTCAATGAAGATCACGGGGAGAGGGTTATGCCAGGTTATCACTGAAGGGGCTTAGCCGGTGTTCTGTTGAAAACCGGGATGGATTATCTGAGGAGAAAGAAGGCTGAACAGCAATCTGGGGACTCAGCAGGATTATCTGGTCATTGGCAGGAGCGGCCCAAGATGACCTAGGATTTTGAGCTGCTCACCTGAGCCACCAGAGGAACATTTGGAGCTACTGACGGTCACCTTCAGTCCGTCTGGGGTTGGAGGCCGTGTAGAAGTTAATTGCCAGGGTAACAGATCTCACCGCTGGCAAGTGAGAGCGTGCACAGCGGCCATGTAGGTTACCTGGGAACAGTTAGGGTCGCCTGGAGTGGTAGGACAAGGTTTTCTGAAGGTCACATATGGCCACCTGAAGGTGGGATGGCTTCAGTGTCAACTGAAGCTAGTCTGTGTGGGATACCCAGGCAAGCTGCTGGCTGAGGCCAGTCGAGATGGGGCAGGGTCTGGCTTGCCTGTTGCAGAGAAGCTGGGAGAAGACAGTTAATGAGAGGAACAGCATGAGGGAAATCCTTGGTGTCTTTCCTCCCACCAAGGGGTTTATCTGCTTAATGCCAATGGGTGCAATCATGTTCCCATGGAAAACAAGGGGATTTGCCATGGGCTACAATGAAGGGCAACAGGATGGGGCCTGGTGACTTGTATGTCGGCAGCAACCTTTCATTTAAGGATCTCAAAGCTCTTTACAGATACCCATGAAGAGGCGTGCAGCACCCGTGGAGGGCTGGGCAGTATCACTGTCCCACTGACCAGGAGACATGGGTGCAGAGGGACAATACAGCTCCACGTTCAACCTCGGGAGCCCGACGGCAGTGAGCCAGCTGGATATTGGGCCTGGTTCTCCCAGGGGCACTGTGGTTGCTCTGAACACAGACCCCCGTTTCTTTACATGCCTAAATATTG